CTCTGATGTTTTAGAGGTCCGTATTTTCTCTGCTCCTGAATTGTATTGTTTGAGCTTGAATACTGTTCGTTGTCTTTAATTATTATTAAAACATTTCTCCTAATTTCTTCATTTCTTATAAAATTTCGTCAAATTTTAGATACTATTTACTTTGAAAAACACAGAGCACAAGCTAGCCTTCTATAGTACCTGAAAGTTTTATACAAAAGATTTATCTGATACCAATGTATGAAATATGTAAATTTCAAAGGTACATGTATGCCAGGTTGCGCTCTGTATTTTCTGCGACAAAATTTGCCATATAAATTGATTATCTAAATAAAGATTTTTTAAAAAAAAAAAAAAAAGAAAATTGGCAAAATTCGTGCTCTTCCAAAACCCTAGTGTATGTTTCTGCTTTTTAAAATATCAATACTCATTTTGAAACAGGGATTATAACAGGGATTTTATTATAAACTATTGCATTCTAAGAGATTCCCTTAAGCAAGGGCAAGACTAAAGGCCCCTTAATTTGTCTTGGTCAATTTAACTTACTGAGTAATAGTAGATATTAAATATGAATCATGTTGTTAATTTTATCTCTACAAAAGAAATTTACATCATATGAATATTACAATGGTATTAACATTACATAATGAAATAAAGAACAACTAGTACTTGTGGCGCAAATTGGTGTAAAATGTGTGATCAATCACTTATATTAAGTGTCTCTTAATGCTTCTCTTTAAATTTATAAATTTTAAATCTATGATTCTATTTCAAATCTTTGCTTAAAAAATGCAGATCCACAATGTTTTGATTCCCTCGAGAAGCTTCAGAATTCCTCCTGATCAAGTGGAAATGATTAGAATGACACGACATTTCTTTTACGTGCCACTTTTGGCACTGATTGTTGAATGCATAGCAATTTAAGGCTCCTCTTAACATATTATAATTTCATCAGAATCAATCAATGCTGGACTTTGATGCCACTAGTCGTGACCCTATCAAAACGTACAGTTTTATTATTTTTTCCGAAGCCGACTGCCTCCCAGAAACGAGAGAAAAGGTTTCTCAGGGTCAAAAGAGTCCTAGTTTTGACATATGACCCACCATTTTAAAATGAAGGAACAATACATGTAAAATTCCTCTGAACTATCAAAGATGCACCGATAAAGTAAGTCCCTGATGGATTTGAGGTAATGATAGCAATGAAAGAATGTGCTAAGATCAAACTAGTTACTGTATGTTTTTTAAAACTATGGATTATGCTAAGAACTTGCATGCACTTTAAGAAAAAACCGGTAAGAGGGCTTGAACATCCATGTACTATACCGTATATTGATTTTCATATTTAATGCCCACAATACAGTTTCCTCTTTGTTAAAGTTGCAGACTCTTAATACAAATAAGTTTGAACTTCCTCAATTATACAGCGCCGAATTTGATATCTAAATTTCATGCGACAAAACGTTTTTCTTGGTGGAATTGTCAGTTTGAATTTAATGAAGTCATGCTGTACCTGAACTATATACTGAAATAACATACACCATACACACCTCTTATATCCTTGTGTCAATTTCTCAATTGCACTCAGTAACATGCCTGAATAACAACAAATTATCAATGTATATGATATTTCAATTACCTGGTAACCGCACCGTGTAGGTGAAATTTATTGTTATGACAATTGGGTTGGTTTCAGCGTAAGTTTGTTTCCGGTTTTATGGCTAAATAAAGTTTAACTTAGAAAATATATGCTTAATAATATCATTTGTTCTCGTTTATACTTTCTTTAAATGTTTATTTGAAATAAGTTGAAATACAACACTTGATTTACAGTTTGAACACAATGTTTACACAGATTAACAATGACAGTCCATTCCCTTTTTATAACTATGTGTCACCAAAAATCATGTCACTTGTCAAAATCAGCAGGTTTTGTTTATTTCATTTTTATAACAGAAACCAATGACAGCTCATCCACGTCAATTATTTTCTTTGTCAAATAATAAAGTATAATTAAATCCTACACAACTTTTTCAAACTTCGACGTGCATATCTAACTGTAAAAAAAAAGTTTTAGGAATACGGAATAAATTGCTCTTCGCAGGTGAGCGTTACTTAATATTTATTCTGGTTATCAAGTTTTCTCTCTACAAGTCGACAGAAACAGGTGCAATATTTGCATTAAGGAAACTTTTTGACCTCAGTATTTCTCTGGGATAAGTAGTTTTTAGATTTACATACAGAATATCTAGCTTCTCTTTCATTATAAATTACAAACTCATAGATATATACACGAGCACCTGTTTTCAGATCCGATAGTTGTTATGAATAAGCAAACAGCTTTTCCATGCCAGCAAAATAAAAAAAAATAGAAACAGAGATTTTTTTGCAGCTTTTATTTTTAAAATTTATCAATTATACATAAATTTACGAGTTTTAGATGAGCATGACTTAAATAAATGAATCTACACGTGAAATCAGGAATTAATTTATGAATTTTTTTTCGGTTTCTAAAAAATTAAGCGATTCTACTTCGACATCAATCTACACATAGATAATCAAACATTACATCACATCTTTTAAAATGACTGTGTTAACCAAACTTCATTTATTTTGTTTATATTAATGTTCAAACAGCTTGAAAATCTATCAAGAAGCTGATGCACGCAAGGTTATTCTCGGTTCCCTGTATCAAAGTTGAATTATTTTCATCCACTTTTAAACAGAATATATATAACTTTGCGAATAAGACCATCGTTTGTTTTACATTAACATCAATGGCTTAATCTATTAAATTAACAAAGAGCCAACAAAAAGGGGAAAAGGTGATACTTGAGAAATATACATAGATAAGAATTCGCAGACATTCTGATTTATCTAACTCTCCTGGCGCTAAAGGTGTAAATTTTCAACTTGCTTATCGTTCTAGGTTATCGGAAAAATCTGGCGTAAACAGTATAATAATCAATTAATACAGCCTTTTGTTTCCTCTCTTTTATAATGCTATTTTTTTAAGTGGTTTCACTTTTGTTTTAATTATACTTCTGAGCCATTGTGATGAAAAATCACACTACATGTATGATTGTAGTACATTGTATTATATTTCTCCTTAAACAACGGAATTAAATTCATCCTCTAACCACGAAAATTTGACTCTATGAAAATAAGTGATTTTACAGTGTTTGCTTCTCTTCTATCCTCAGCAAAAATCCTCAAATTTTTTTTAAAAATATTGTTTGTTGATATTACTTGATTCACATCACTTCCATGTTGTTAGCATACATGTAAGATCTGATTGCCAAATAGATTATAGAATAGATTAGAAAATGTTACGGATCGGAAATACTACTTTCTGACCTCAATTGTTTTTGGCAAAAATCTTCAAAAAGTTCTTAAAAAATAGTCTTCAGTATTCGATCATGAAGACAGAAAAGGAATTCCATTTGGCAGGATTTATGAATCAAAGAGTTAAATCAAGTTTTAATGATCTGCCTTGAATATATACTTGCATAACTAAAAAAAAATTGGGATAGCTCCATATTTTGATATTGATTTATCTCAAAGATTCGGCACACCAGTATCTTAAAGTAATCAGCAACAGGGGAACAGAGTCGGGATTGGCTACCAGACTTTGTTTGAGTTAACGAAAAAAAATCTCTGACCCCACTGAGCTCACTTACTTGAATGCTTTACTATCTTTTACAAGATGCTTTTAATCAGATTAACAAATCTTTGCAAAGTTTCTTTTCAAGGCTCTTAGATTCTCGTCAATGAAAGGGGGACGGGAACACATTTACATAAAAGTTGTTTTTAAGTAACGCGTCCAAGTATATGGTTTGATCATAAGGACTGAAATTCATCCGTTTTCCTCAGAATCTTTATCAAGAAAATGAAACAAACAAAAATTTTAAAAATATTTAAATGTAGTAATTCAAAAACACGGAGATTATGAAACTTAAACTACTTCAAAAACCTCTTCTGCTTCTCTGATATTTTATCAATATTTTTTTGTCGATTTTACGAAATCATTCAAAATTAGGCTGTATAATTTGTCAATCTCATTATTTCTAGAGCACATTTTTTCATTTCTATGCTTTTAAAAAGGTGCAAGAATTGTATGATTGAACAAACAAGAACACTCGCTTAGTGAGGTGACCTTAGTGCAAAATCATTCCGATAAGGGCTCATCAATTGTCCTTCAGAGGAATTCGGTCACCATTTTTCAACACAGGACACTTATTTTTGCTCCTGTGTGGATCTACTCATGTTAGGAGGTAAGAATGTATCAAGCCTCGTCAAGTGAGAATTATTAAGAGCTTCAGATTTTTACTTTTCGTGTTACATTATTACATTTATTTGCTTAATTTGAAATAATTTCATTTATCTTGCCAAAAATATTAAAATTATTAACATGCGTTTTTACTTCCCAAACAATTTAAATATATTTTTCAAAGCCTCAGAAAATTAAGACATACATTGTATATAGAATCACCTACTTAGAATTTAATTACACGTTCAATTAAATCACAATTCTTACTGCAATACTCTTGAACAGTTATCTTTAAAGTAAACGATATTTAAACCGTTTAAATTTGACTTTTTATTCCTCTCATGAAAAAAAAGTCGAGGAAAATATTTTCAGAAGTATATTTTTCTTAGAGATTTGTTTATTGGCAAGTGACCAAGGTAGCAGGTTTCCCGGTCAGTATATCATTATCAGATTTAAGAGTTCGACATAAAAAAAAACTGACATCGTCGCCCTTGCAGGTAGGTAAAGGAAAGGTGTGTTTCTGAATTCAAGACCATAGTTGAGCGTTACATTGATTGTTGATAAATCCAGTGGAAAAAAACAAACCCCCGTGTACGTTAACTGATTCTATAAAATGATAAACCTAGATGCTTACGCCTATTGAGTAAATATAATAATTATTTCAATGAGCGAATACTGTCTCGAACTTATGTTTTAAATTTCGTTGCAGGCGGAGCTTGTGGGTTTTACTATTATTATCATACAGTCGGATTTCACGAGCATCTAACTACGACCTTGACGTCAGAGCAAAACGGAAGGCCAACCATGACCGAGCGATGACTATATAAAAGTGTTTCCTCTTCATCAAACATGAAAGATTGTATCATTCAGCAGACGACAACAGATTTACAGAAATAATATATGTAGAAAAAATGACACGAGACACAAACGACAATCGAAAGTGTAGAGAAGAGAAAGGGAGGTTAAGAGTTATCATTCAGATTTTAGTGGATATTATTTTACTGTTAGCAGGTAATTATTTGTTGTTTAATCAAATATCAACCATAACTGTAAGATACATGTATAATCTAGGGCAAATTAAACAGATAAAAATTTTATATTGTTTGAATTAGGTTTCATGTGGCGATATAAGGCCAGTTATTTTTAAAATTATATACATATAATATTGTTTTATAGATAAAACTGGCATTTGCAGCTGTCAGGAAATGGCAGAACACAAACTGTGACCTGCAATAACATGTTGAACAAAAACTCGTTGAAAGCTTTCGCTATCAATTTTTATCGATAATTTTTGTAAAAAGAAAAAAAATTAGTAGTTTTTATCGACCACACGTGGTAGTAATTGATAAAGGGACAACAGCGAAAAGCTTTTAGAAGTTTTAATTGCTTTTATTTTACCCATTAAATTATGCATCTTCTATTTACCGTTTCCAAAGACCGATGACTTTTTTAAAGTAGTTGTATTATAAGTGATCATGAATAATTGCATTGTCACTAGAATAAATTCGTTCCTGGCTTTATGTTTTACTGAGCTTACAAATGAATTACCAATGTTTTCATTACACTGATGTATGGGGAAACTAAGTAAACAAGCATAGGAGGGCGAAGGTTCCCGTGTTAATGAATGCATTTAGTGCACGTGGATCTTCATTAGCATTATATACTAATTACTATTACTTAAAACAATGTTCCTGAAAACGTATATCTGAAGTCAATTTTAAACATATATTGTTAATTTTACCAGCTGTAAACAGGGATATCATATGATGTGAAGAACTAGTTTTATTTTCATATTCAGGAAACATAAATAAACAAGTCTCAGTGAAAATATAAGGACCTACTTAAATTACATGAATCATATAAAATATGTGTACATTTTCATGTTATTTAATTAGGCTACTTATCTTCGTTAAAATCTCCTTTTATTATAGGTCATTTTTGAAAAAAAAAATAATGGAACAGCTTGACTTTTTGTATTGAAGACCATGAAATTTAACTGAAATCTTAAAAGATTCGTATAATTGTATATGCACATATATAAGTATTACTGAGTATATACAAGTAAGCTTTAGCGATTATAGACACATCGACCAATGCCCACCTGGGACTGACATATGTTTTGTGAATGGTATATGATTTATAGCTCTCTAGATTTACCATGATGTTAATAGTTTATGTCATAATAATGAATAATATACATGCAAAAGAATCTTTTTTATCATACTCGTATCTAGCTAAGAGATTCTTAAATCCTCTGTATTCCATGGTTAGCCGCTGATGTACTGTTGCATCTTTGTCCAATAATATCTAAAACAATTTTTGAAAATAATTTTAGCGTGCAAAAGCATGTATCTATTTCAAGTTTTGACATAACGTATAACGAGGTTACCATTATCTGTAATTTTGTCGGTGAAAATTTTCAAAATTCATATCTCATGTTTATCTTTAAAGTTTTCTACGTTATCTATTTCACGCGAACGATATTGACAATTCATGCAAATTCCAAATAATGTTGTTTTTGAATACCTAACGTCGATCGCACGATAGTATGCACTTGAAAGTTAACATGCTTCATTTGAATTACGAAATATGATTTTTGTTAGTGTGCCTTGAATCATAAACAACACGATTAAGGTTCATGTTAAGTCAAAATTGAACTCAGACTATGGCTTATGTAACAGAAAATATAATGCAAAACACGAAAATACATTCAAAAGTAGTTCTCATCACTATTTGATTTAATGTCATGTAATTTTTGCAAAAGACATGAAAATGATTTTATGTGAAAAAAGAAAATGTGTGATTTGGAAAGAAGAATAAAACAGTATTTTTGGCGGATTCGATGTCCCTTTCTACATGTAAATAGTTTGGATGTAATGGATATATTACTCCTAATATGAATTGTGCCTAGGAACTTCCTAGGCACAAACCATAGTAGGAAAATACTAATATTTCCCTCTGTTCATAATTGAACGTTTCATATAGGCGAATAAAGTCATGATTGTGATAAATTTGTTCTTCTTACAAATTCGTGTTTGTAATGTATAGATCTTTATCATCATTAGCTGCAATTTCTCCTTAAAAATTACATCATTGTGACACCACATTTTTTAGCTTCAATTTCCTCTCTTCTGTTTATAAGTTAGTATCAAGAAACACCGGGGCAAAAAATGGGATGAACACTATGAGTACAAGTGTACATGTATCTCCTTTAAACTATACATTATGGAAGAAAAGACACCCTTTACAAATGCTGAGTTTTAATCTTTCCTAAATGTAAAAAAAATTCTAGTTTCACATTCAATGAAAAACATTTTATTTATTGCTACTTTAACTTAATTGTATTTAATCGAAGATTTATGATAACTTTTGTTAAATACATATTTTTGTCTTTGCATGATACATGCACATGTTTGCTCCTTAAAGAATCAAAGATTATACCCAACCTCGATTTTCGCTTTCATTTATTTTTAAAATAATTCAATGATATGGTAGGTAAACATGATTTCCAAATTTATGACATACAAGTGCCATTAAATATTGAGATCTTTATACGCATGTACTAATATGATAGAAAGAACCTTCTTTTTTGAAGTAAGGCATATTTTTATGGTATTTTTTACATTCATTTGAAAATTGAATAGTCTGTATTGAGATTTATATTTTAATTTTACGAAGGATGAACGAAAAATGTAATGAATTTAGATAATGAATATTATAATAACTTCTATATATGTATAAGTAATGATTTCACAAAAGTATGAAGAGACATTCCAAATGGAGTAATAAACTTTCCATACATGTACATTTTATCATTTTAAGAATTAAGGTGGCATTTCCTTGTAGTGGGAGTTCCAGTTATTGTGTCATACAATGGAGGCATTCCGCCATTCCAACGTGGTTTTTTCTGTGACGACAATTCGATCAAGTACCCGTATGTCGAGGACACCATTTCCGATGCCGTGCTCATGGGTGTTGGATTCACAATGGCGTTTATTCTGGTAAGAACACAAAATGCAGCACGTAAAGCCTCTTCAATATGTTGACGTAGAAGGCTAAAAGCGTTTTCTTCAGATTTTTATCAGAGATTAAAGTAGCCACACTTAATTTCAATCTAAATTTCCGTTCAAACTTTTCTCCATAAATATCTTTCTGCACGTTTGAAAGCCACAGCTTCTTCAGGCATGCTTCAGACACTCCAACATTCGGAAGCGATTCATTTCTATTGGGTGCCAATTAAATGCACTTTTTGCAATGTCTGGAAAAGAAATCTAATTTTATTGAAAGTGAATTTGTAGGATCAAAAGTTCTGAATTCTGTTATCTTTTGTTGATAAAATAAATTTTCCTTGCTTATGAATTTACAAATATTCTCGATGGAGATTATATCGTAAATAGCCAGAATAAAGACCATTTGTTGGGGAGTAAAAAACAAAAATCATAACCAAAAATTGTTCCAGACCTCCTAACTAGAAAAAAAAAAATAATAATCTGGTACAATGTTCAGAAAAATAATATATCTGCTCTCGGAAAAAAGCGTTTCCTTTGTTATCTGAAAGTCTGCAATAAAAAAAAAGTGAAAGCATAACTGTGATATTTCTTTTATTTTTAATCACAGTATACATTGTGGTAAAATTACAGAAAATACTGCAAATACAGTATCGCTGCAATAAAAATAATCAAATATCTTGCGATATATTGAAGTGTACTGTCGAACTGCAAAATAAGAAGAATTTGTATGTGTGAAGAAACGTTTATCGGTACTTAACTGGGTATAGACATGCATGAACTCGCCTTAATTACAAGTTGGTGGAAGGCATTTTCAAAATATATTTTGCTTTTAGATTTAAAAGAACTGCAGAATTCTCTTATTATCCTCAGCATTTTATTTTAAGTACAATTTTTGTACTTGTGCTGTAGTTTGTTAATGGTTTAGAACGGGAAAATTTATTTTTGCGATCTTTACAATACTAATCATATAAAATATCTGTTTACAACTGATTGACCAGTATTCTCATACAGGTAAAATAGAATTTCTTGAACACATATTTTTTAAAGTGCATAAAAAATTCAAGCAAGCACTTTGTTGTTGTTTTTTGTTTTTTTAAATGAATTAACGCTCATTTTTTGTGAAATTCCAAGTGTGTCAGCCCCTCATGTAATTTGGAATCAAATACACGGTGACACGTGTGACACCAATATTCATAAGAGTTATTTCCCTTTTTCAATACGGATGAATAAATTATGATGCATTTTAGATAAAATGTCAAAAATTTAAACTTTTGATAGAATACAGTTTATTGTTTAAATATGGAATTTTTTTGTTCTTGAGGTTTTGAACGACATAAATGATATTTATGTGTACTACAAAACATTAATATTTTTACTAGTAAAACAAATAATATTAATTTATTTATGTTAGTTTTGCGCAGTAGCGGTGAGGTTAATCAAAGGCGTGGATTATTACTAGTTGAAAACTATACCCAATACCCCGCGCAATGGCCTGACACATGGCCGCTGGCGTAATCTTTGAGCAATATCAAAACGAAGAAAAACTTTTTATTGTAATCATACGTAAATTTTTGAGAGAATTTTTACATGAGTTCCTGGCATTAAAGATAATTAGGGGTAGTTTCATGTTATTTTCCAATCTACTCCCAAACAAATAATCTTCCTTTTTTTTAAATTGAAAATCGTAGTGGAGCTCTAGGATATAAACATGTGTTTAAAATCTTTTTCGAGTCATAATCTAGATTATAATTACATCCAATTCATATACACGTACATGTACATGTCATGTATTTCACAAAACTCGAAGAGTCCTTTCAGGGCCGAGTTTTGTGCAAATGATTTAGATGCCATACTTCTTTATTGAAGAAAAAAAACGAGAAAAATCATGCTCATCTGTGCTATTCCTGTGAAGATTTACTCTTTCGGGAAAAAGTGCTAATGTAGATATTGCTTGTTGGAAGACTATACCCATTACACCGGTTGACTGCGCAGTGACCTAAAATATGGCGCTGGCACAAATTGCACGCTTCTACATATTCTAAATTTCGACAAAATAATTGCTTCATCCCCAACCATAAATAATCTAAATTGTATCAACATAGTTATTTGTTATTATTTGTCCATCTATCTGGTACATATAATGTAAATGTCAGGAATCGACCCTAGGATACATCTTGGTAACCCTTCTATGAATTCGATTACTCCGTATACGTATGTTATTAGAGAGAAACGAATCATAATCTTCTAGCAAATTCTGCTAAGTTTTTGTTTGAGATATTGTCTTTAATACATTTATATCTTGATGAATTTTAGGCTTGGATATTCCGATTTCTGTGTCTTAAAGGTATCTAAAGGATAACAGTGACTTTAGGTCATTTATTGCATTTTTCAACAGTGAAATACTGATATTTTGTCACAGTTAGAAAGAATATCAAAGTGATAAAGAATATCAGAAGTGTGACAAAACTTGAGATTTTCCTTCCCTTCACAAAGAATGTTGTAAAAAATACTCCCTGGCCAACATAGAGAGTAATAAACCATCCAGATTTGACAGAGACTAAAACTGCAAGAAATTCATCAATTATGCTTATGAAATACATGTTCACGATGTTTTCAATCTCACAATCGCTAAGCTATGACATCTCAACCGCTTTACCATGAAATCACAGTCTGTGACACTGTGTTACGAAAAGACAGACTGAGAGGTAAAGGAGAAATCAAAGAAAATATAATAAATAGATAATTCAATATTTTGTGTTGAATATTGAATTGATTTCACTTATGAGACAGGATTTTTTTTTTTTTTTAATTTTTACTCGTGATTCGCACTCCTGAAAATATATTTAAAAAAATCTGTCCCACTCGTGAAATAAATTCCATATTCAACTACACTGTACGAGTATATCAAATATCCTCTATATACCAGTATCCTCAAGTTAAAGTCGCAAGGATGACTAAATGTAGATAGAAGTATAAAAATTTAGAGAAATCAAGATGAAACTGGGTCTATTTTTGGCAAACACCTGTTTATATCTATCTACTACTATATGTTTGCTGATAACTGTTCAATATATCTTTGAAAGTGTTATTTCCCTTATCAAATTACATGTACTATAAATAGTTTCATTGGTTTTTCGGACCAAAATGTTAAATTCATGTACATTACAAACGTTCAATAATTTAATTACAATAAACACTATTTGGCACTGGCGATTCAGAATATGATTTTCTTTGAGATTTTTTTATCAACATGAAGGAATACTTCTACACACTACAACATATTGGTCATAGAGGGGCTATTTAAATCTCCAGAACTATTTTATATATTAGCTTTGCGCAGTGGCGGTACCATAGCCAATGAGGTTAATCCGAGGCGTGGTTATTGCTAGTTGAAAACTATACCCAATACCCCGCGCAGTGGCCTGAAACATGGCCGCTAGCGCAATTTTTGAACGCTCCTACGGGGGCAACATCAAAATAAACTAAAGAAGAAAATATTTCATTGTACTGAATGAAATCCTACATACATGTAAATTCTATATAGAATTTTTACATGAGTTCCTGGCATCTAAAGTAATAACGGGATAGTTTCGTATAACTTTTTTCAATTTTACAACAAAACAAATATTAAAAAAAATAATAATAATAAAAGAAAATCACAATAGGGCTCTGGGATGTTGACATTAGTTGCAACTCTTTTTTCGAGCCATAAATCAAAATATTTATATAACAGTTTTGTTTATAAACTACATTAATGTCCGTTTAAATTACATAGTTTGTTACCCGTTATAGAGAAACGGAATCATGTTTTATCATATTTTTTTTTTTGGTCTGAGATAAAGCAATTAAAGCATGTATAGTTTGATGTGAATAAATTTTGAGCTTTAATTAATGATTTTCGTGTCTTAAATGTATCTCAACGATAACAGTGATTTTAGGTCATATTTTCCCCAGTCAGAGTCGCGGGGATGAATAAAAGTAGATCGAAATAAAAAAAAAAATTAAGATGAAACTATATGTATTTTTTACACACACATCTGTTTATAATAACTTTATATATATCACATACATCTAGGTGAGTTATTTACAGTAAATATAGTGTACGTTTGCTGATACACGTAACTGTCCAAAAGAGTTTGTACTCTATATTCTTGAAAGTGTTATTTCCCTTATCAAGTTACAAGTACAATAATTAGCTTTATTGGTTTTCTGACCTTAATTTTAAAGTCATGTACATTGCAAACATTCGATAATTTTAATTACAATAAACCCTATTTCGCATTGACGATGCAGAGTAGAATTTTCTTTGAGATTTTTTATCAACATGAAAGAATACTTGTACACACTACAACATGTTGGTTATAGAGAGGCTATTTAAATATCAAGAACTACTTTACAGATTAGCTTTGCGCAGTGGCGGTACCATAGCCAATGAGGTTAATCCGAGGCGTGGTTATTGCTAGTTGAAAACTATACCCAATACCCCGCGCAGTGGCCTGAAACATGGCCGCTAGCGCAATTTTTGAACGCTCCTACGGGAGCAAAATCAAAATAAAAGGAAGGACATCGAGAATCTTCTTATTTCACTTTATCTGCAATCGCCAAATTATTATTATTATATTATCGCACCTATAATTTTATTCAAATATTGACTTATACTGGGTAACTCTTGTGAGGTTTGTTAGTCTACTTGCTATGTACAGATCTGAAGAATCTACTCTATTTTAGCCTGCCTTGTTATAAAATAGTTCCGTAGTATTTCAACTCTGAAAACAATTAAGTCATCATGATAAGATCATTGACTTCCTTTATTCGACCTAAGACATCATGTGTTTCTTTTCAGGTAATTCTTGTTGAGGTACCTAGATACCTGTCATCTCGACTGCCATTCACGAAGTCCCAAGAATTCGTAATCTGTATCAAGTCCTGCTGTGTGTCCCTGTTTGGGATCGCCATCACTATGGGATTTGTTCAGTCTCTGAAGTATTCTGTTGGTGCACTAAGGCCACACTTTCTAGATGTCTGTAAACCCGACAATTCAGCATTCAACTGCACTCAGGGGTTAGCTTATTTAGCATTTTTATTTTTAGAAGCAAACTGGTCAGTTTTGACCTCAACAATATTATTTTTAGCTACACTTTATACAGATGAACCAGATGGCCAAAAAGAATTAAGTTACGTAATTATCAAGTTTTATTTTTCTTGAATTTTGAACAATTGATTTTTTTTAAATCAGTCTCACCATTAACGATGCTTAAAATTTTCCTAAGGTTCAAATGTGTAAAAAAAAAAAAAAAAAAAAATTAATTTCTTCTATTTTCTCCAGCTATGTCACTCAATATAGCTGTACGGAGACTAAGTTCAGTGACTCCATTCTTCGACGGAGCAGGACGTCTTTCCCTTCCGGTCACGCAGCGTTCTCCATGTATATAGCAGTATACTTATCTGTAAGTGTCATTTATACATATACCGCGATAAAACACAACTGTTAAATTCAAAATATCATTTAATACTATCACATATCACTTAAACCTTTTCTGAATATAATAGACATCGTATTAATTTCACCTGTGTGATTTTTAAAGATTTTTTTTAAACAAAAACTTTTTAAGATTTTGAACAATATAGCCAAAAAATGCACGTGGAGGACAGTGGTCTTAAACATTATTGAATGTAGTACGTACTTAGGAGAACACTTGACACTTTAAGGAATGTGACATAGTTTGTCTTTGTTAGTGTCATTATATCCTTCCGATGTAACTTTACTGTACTACATATCGTAGTGGAATTAATATGTGTTACATAAACGCCTCGTGTTGAACAATTTGTTGAGTGTTGTCATCGCAAATTTTTGACATCGATACTAACATGCCGTACTTTGTTCATGTACATGCGTAATAAAGTGGAATCTGGTCAATTGCGCACATATATATAAATTTTATTTCGTCCCTGAACAAGTGGGTTTATCCCATTGATATTTTTTTTCTCTTTGATAAATCCCATTTTAATCTATTAGATTTGTATATATAAAAAAAAAGATACATCATTTATTTGACATTTTTTCCCAACAGCTTTACTTTGAGGTCCGATGTTACTTTTGGTTTTCCCGCGCTTTGAAGCCTCTTCTTCAGCTTTGTTTCTTTTTGTTCTCCATCCTGGTTTCAGTGACCCGTGTCCAGGATCACAAACATCACCCACATGACGTCATAGCGGGTTCAATTTTAGGCATCGTCGTTGGGCTTTTTGTGGTAAGCACGCAAATACAATTTTCATAATACGCATTAGCCATATTAAAAAAAAATGATGTAAACACGTTATTAAAATGCTAGGTATATTTTTATTTTAAATTTACCGTCAACTAGAAAACATAAAATTTGTAGGATGATCAAGTGACCTTGGCATATTCAAAGCATGCTAAACCACAGACTGACTCGCAGACACTTCCGGGGGATTATCAGTCTGAGGTAGATTATAGGCTTCTTCAATCTAATGATGTGGAAAGTCTGTGCGATTAGCATGATGTTATTGTCCGTGAATATTGCTGGATCCAAGGGTTGTTTTCATGATTATACTACTAGGCGAATAATTTATCTTTAGAAGGAACCGTTGATATAGTCTGCAAAGAGTACCCCCTTAAAGGCTAATTGTACAACGTATGCAAAATTAATTATTATAGGAAAGATAGAAGCAAAAAAAAAGAATTCTTGTCAATAATATTATCATAGAGACTAATTTTGAGGATTAATTAAAATTTATGAACTTTCGGTCAATCTAATTTAACAAATTAAAATTTTTGAAACAGGTGTAGAATGTATATTTCGTCTAGCCTTTTTGTTACCCAGTATCGATGTGGCATGATAGGAAGGCTTATTTGCCTCATCTGCGGGTTAAAAAGGATGGTGATGAAGACAAATGGTTTTTAGAGGCTTTACAGATGTTTTCTCGCGTTTGAAGAAACCTAATTACAAAGATATAAACACGCTACAGCTGAGTGATGGCTGCATGTGCGTGCTAAAATGTTCCCTCCAAAACCTGCTGAAGCTAGATCTTCTATAAGGCTTATTTTTAGAAGTTAAATTTTTCTTGGATAATATTGCAAAAAAAAAAATTGAGTAAAAAAAATATTTGTAGAAGTATATTCAGATCTTATTTGTGCTTTTTATAGCTGTCAATTACGGATAATCTATCTGTACGTCGGAAAAAGTTGTCAATGCTTTTAAAGAAATTGAAGAATAACGGTGGTTGTGATATTACATCAATTTTGACATTTTAGCATAAACAATTTCCTTTGATTCACTTATATCTAATTCAAAGTTTATCTTAAAAATGTTCGGAGATGAAAACGGTTACTAATACAAAGAAATTTATCTCTTAAAATAACCCTTTAGTCAAATGCAGATAACATACATGTATATCATTGTTTTTAACCCATTAAATCATGCCCACTAAGTAGCAAGATAGCAGTTTTCTGTTGTTTGGTAAACATATTTTAATCAAAACTTTAAATAAAACTAGTCTTGTAATTTGTCCATTTGAAAAGAACAACCTTCTTTAAAGAAATGGCATTGGGTTTTTTTTACTTTAAAATAAATGACTTTTTAACAGACGGTCTAATAACAAAATAAAATTATGTTTATCTACATGTAACTCAAGAGCCCTAATTTACAGAAAGTCCGGAAAATCTTCATCTTAAGATATTATATTCTAAAGAGGGGTTAACATCCGCATTAAAGTAACCAAATCGCAAAAATCTTCAGCTCAAGATATTAAAGTCTAGAGAGGTTAATATCCGCATAATTCGGCATAAACGTGTGCAAGATATATTTCTTTACAAAGAATCACGATTGGAAGATGTTGTTACTTGACGTTGCTTAAGATTTAGTCTTGTCTTCCTTTTGCCACATAGGTCAAGATGTTGATCTGGAATTCCGATTATTAACAGAGATTTATCACTTTATCATAGCCTTTTGTGTTTTTAAAGAAATATAAAATCCTTGAATTTTTATCCTCTCTTTGCAGTTTAAAACTCTTGGAGAGAAAGCTGCAAGATCACGAGAGGTCGGCTTGTTTGCGCCGTTTCTCAAAAAACAGGATTCAACATCCGAACCGAGAACTCCAACACCTTTACTTCAACATGACAGAACCGCGTTTCTGAGATTAGAAAGTCAGAAAAGCATGTGCAATGGCAACTATGGATTTTCAAATTCTCCGTCAAGTCCTTCAATAACAACAGAAATAGTGGGGAGAGATGGACTTCCGGTATGAATCAATATGACATCCGGTCTGATCAATCTTAGCATTCGGTCTGAATCAATCTACTAGCAGGATGAACTCTTACAGCTGTAACATGAAATATGCTGTATCCTCCGAAGATATTGGAATTATGTGCAAAAAGATAAAGATTGACAGACATTTAAAACCTCCCACTGGTCCAGGTGAACCTCTTTCGTGTATGATGCGGAGTCCGAATCCATTAACATGGAAAGGCACTGGATGATTAGCTAGGCAGGAAATTAACTGTATGTGGGCACACTTAGAAGTATATTTAATTACGGTTATGTCATTTTTCCGTCCAACAGAAAATCCATGCAGGGCTTCATTATTATGTTTAATGATTAGTATTAAAAACTGCAACATTACAGATCCACTTTGTGTATTTTTCCTGTAATTTATGTCATGTTTGTTGTGACGAGCAGATAAAAACAATGGTTTTTATTGCTATGGGTTGTTCTAATAAAGACAGATATTTCATGCATTAACATGATGGTCAGAAATTTTCCGAAGTTCTCCATATTTTGCATTGGATATTTCTTTTTTTTTTTCTTTTACATTGCAAGAATAAACTTTCAATACATATAAATGTATATGAAAATGCATATGGTTGGATGTAACAAGAAAATAAATTAACAAAATATTTGCAATGGGGACACTCATCTCGTTTTATTGATATTGCAAGGTGTATGATGAAACAGGAATACTAGTTTTGATTTTTAGGCCAGTATCTAAAAATATGTGAATTTTGGACTTTTATGTTTAAGATATCACATGTATAGTTTAGCGTAGACAAGTGTATTAATTATTGATAAATCTATCAAAAGTGTCATTGTAGGACATTGCAAATCAAAACTTTACTACAGTATTTCAATAAATTATAACCCAAATGCTTAATATTCTTGTATTTATATATTCTAACTCGTCATAAACCAGAATGATTATTATGCTATTGTAAGGTTTCCGTTTTCTGTAATTTTTTTTTTCAAAGGACTACTCTTGTTATTATACCCCCACCCCACCCCGCCTCCGCTTAAAAAGCGGGGTTGTATAGTGATGGGGGTGTCTGTCCGTCCATCTGTTACGCTTTAGGGTACACATCTCTTATCCGCAACTCCTCTTACGTGTATAACACTGAATATTTATTTCTCTTTTATTCCAAGCTCTCTGATTGGCTCAAACTTGATCACATGATGAAGTTTATAACAGCATATATATATATATATATATATATATATATATATATATATATATATATATATATATATATATATGTATATATATATGTGTGTGTGTGTGTGTGTGTGTGTGTGTGTGTGTGTGTGTGTACTAGATGAAACCCCGCGCAAGCGCGGGGAATTGAATCTACACTACTACGGACAGAAAATATTTTGTAGTTTCTACTGACAGCCTACAGGCTTAAAGCAGGAAGAAATACTTCGTTCAAAATCTCGCATGAAGTAGATGTACGTCTCCAACCCCACCCTAACCCCCTTTGTAAAAACTTGAAAATTAACAATTTCATTAATTGACGTTTATTGTGAAACCTGTTATCCTATGTTATGGAAATCAAAATTCACAGGTACTTGGGTCTTGGTTTATAAATATGTTTGTACAGAGACCATAAGTTTATTTGATGTCTGCAAGGACATAGGGTGTCCCTTTTCAAACAACAGAATATTTTGATGTCAAAGGAACAAAAAGTACAAGACAGTGAACCATGATTGATTTTTCTGTTCAACGAATAGATTAAAAGAAGCAGTCGTAGATGTAGTTCATTCATGCGTCAGTAAAAACATACAAAACATGTATGATTTGACACACGTTATGAGTACACTTCTGGGGGAAATAGGTATTGCTTTAATTACATAATAGGTAGTTACAGTAGAAAAAAAACATCATGTGGTACTATAAAACTCAGTGACAGGTATTCACTCTGTTTTCGCTACAAGGTGTTCTCTCTATGTTCAAAAAGTCCAAAAAGGGTATTTACTTATCGTAAAGAATTTCTTAAATTCTCTAAAAGAAATATTGCAAGAATAAGAGGCTAATGGTAAGAAGAAATTTACTAAGCGCGTCTAAATAACTGAATGAATTTCGGCTTCTTTCCATGATTCTAAGATTGAAATAGAGCATGTGGAGTCGTTCAAAGGCTATGGAGAGTTCTTTGCATTCCGAGGATGTCGAGTCCGTATTGTTCAATGTGCTCAATCACACTGAAAATATTACGCAATGACCACACGAAGACTTCTATAAAGCTCGTATTTTATTCCTATTTTATGGAATTTGAATGAATCAAAAGAGACCGATATCTGAACATCAAGATAATCTCTGACTTTTTTTTACATTTTACGAGCTGATTGCCATGCGCTGATTCTGGTTTCCAAACATAAAGTATAGCTCCGGTTTTACACAGTAAATGTCATTCTACATTTTTGCGATGTCATTTGATCTAAGTGAAACCTGTTTTTTCAACATGATAGCATAAGGAATTTTGAATTGGGTAAAAAGTAAGCCTATAATTCGTGAGAAATGCTTTTCATGCTACTTTGTTTATTAATGAAGTAGTAATATTTCAACTATTTTAGTTTCTACATGTTACAGCACTCTCTCAGTGGCAAATCCAAATTTCGTTTTAGGTTCTAACTTTTCATCTAATCACCAAAAAAAAAAATCTCGATTTTTATGTAATTTTTATCAATTAAATATTTTTTATCAGCAAATTTCTCTGAAGGTCAAGAGGAGAAAGTAAATTGAGATGAGTAGCTTAATAAATCCTGGCAAAATCTCGATTATATTATGTATACCAACTAAGATTTTTTTCACGTCAGACACAGCTGTTATACTAATGTCTCATGGGGCAACCCATGGAGATCATATGAAGAATAAAAAGTAAAATAATTAACAGAAAATCTATTATCGTATTTAATTAACCTACTCTTCAAGACAACCAATAGAATCCAAGGTTGGGTGAGCATTTTCAAGTCTCAAAGATAATTCAATTTGAGTTTCAAAATAATGTTCCATGCATGTATGAAAAGCATTATTATTTCAATTAAAATATGCAGAAAAAATTTCCTTGTGCTGAACTACTTTTAATATGTACAAAAAAAATGTTAGTGCACTACTGATTTATATGAGAGGTTTCGGACAGGTACCTGTGTGTAAAAAGACTAAGTGGCATTACCATTTAATTTTGAGGTTTGGGAAGTTTTGCCAGAGTTCTAGTCGTTACTGATAGGAGAGAAATATCAGCGACATCAAGACCCATGTTTAACTCTTCACATCATTAACTTTTGTTGATCTCGTTTATAAAAATCATTTGTGCTGGGGGTTTTCCCTGTAAGATACATGTATTATTGCAGTTTCAGATTTTGGAAAGACCATGGCATTGCTGAAGCCAGTTTTAAAGAGATCTTTTTTATCGTAATTTCAAATATAAGCCAGTCGACAAAAATATTTTAGATACCTTGCACATTTTTTACAAGGTTTATCGCTTTGATATCAAAATTGATATAAAACTTTTGGTTGAATATTTAGATAATAAATGCTTCTTTTTCACAGATGGAATCTGTATCTTTATTATTAAAGGTCAGATACACCCAGATGTTTCGCACATTTATTATGATGTATAGGTTTTGGAGGGTGGGTTCTATTGCATAAAGATTGATATAAATTAAACGATCCTCTAAAATCTGAAAATTCTGGCACTGATGTTGAAGAAAATTGTCAAAAGACTCAATTTAAACTAGGTGTAATCTGTTAGATTGTAAAGTAGATATAAGTGAAAATATTTGGGGTGTTAGTCAAGTTATTTATTTATTTCTTGTCGATAAAACTACTAAGTGTATCTTCTGTGCTTTTTTTCTTCCCGTGTAAAAAATATGAGAGTTCAAAACATTAAAGACTATTGTTATTGTATTCATAATGAATGTATGAACTTATCACTCAACATCACGGGGCTATCATTGCCGACATCGTGCAATTTTTACATGTTCGAGCTATAATCAGATGAGAGACATATTATACAAATATACGTTTTAACATTTTTTTTTCTCTACTTTAAAATCTGAGATTTTCAAAATATTTTTTTCTCGAAAGAATTGTTGTAAAATCATGAAAATGTCAATGTGCCAATGGTCACTTGAAATATTAATGTTTAATTAAAGATTTATTGCATAACTACATTGCAGGACCATATTAAAGACGCTGTTATGCCTATAAAATTGTGACATGTGAGAAATATGTCTTGAGTCCACATATTCACAATCTCAGGATTTTGTTTGTTTGGGTGTCGCTTTGCTTTTGTTAATAAGTATGCCATTCACATTGCCGCTGACTATTTCCTATTTAGGTCACCTCAGTCACCCAGGTGACCTATTGCTATCTGTTTTCGTCCGTCGTCGTGCGACGGTCCATGGATCGTAAACTTTTGAACATTTTTAGCTTCTTATCTTGAACCACGGAACCAATTTCAACCAATTTTTGGCGTATAGCATCAGTGGGTAAAGGGGTACAAAATTATTAATTTCATGGTCCTTGCCCCCTTGGAGGCCTGAGGGTTGGGACTAAAACCATCAGAATTGGTGCTATCTTTAATAATCTTCTTCTTTACTTCTGGACACCAATCAGACAAACTGTTGGCATGATTTTAATAAGCATTGAGCTCTTCACCAAAATTTTGAAATTCGTGGACCCAGGGTCAGAAGTTCTGGAGTTAGGGTGGGGCTTTTATGATCAAGTAGTGAAAATGCATAAACTCTTTAAAAATCTTCTCTCCCCTTGTAGATAAAGCAGATAAAGTAGGTGTATGGTTATAATGATCAAGGGGTGCCTCTTCCAAAATTGTGAAATTTGTGGCCCCAGGGTGAGGGGTTATGCTAGAGGGGGGATTTATTGATTATACAGTAAATGTGCCTATTTCTTTGAAAATCTTCTTCTCTTTTCCTAGGTACTTGTATTTAGCAGATAAACCAAGTTTATAATTATGATAAGCAAGGGGACCTCTTCCAAATTTGTGAATATCCCCTTGGTCAGGGGTTCTGATGTTAAGGCGGGGCTCTATTGATAATATTGTGAAATTGCATTAATTCTTTAAAATCATCTTCTCTGTCCCTGGGTATTTAGCAGATAAAGTAGATGCATGATTATGATGATCATGGATGCCTCTTCCAAAATTGTGGAGGTAAACAGAGTATATTAAGCTGTAATAAGCAAGGGTGTTTTTACCAGATTTAGAAATTCTGTACCCTTCGGTCAATTTATTAATTTCTACTTAAAGAAGTCATTCCCTATTGTTATTCACCTATGATCATAGTTAATCACTGTAAATAATTTAACCGAAAAGATCAATTGAATAACAGAATTATACAAGAATTTGAATAATATTTAATACTAAACATACTTTCGTAGATTTTAAAAGTCAGGAAAACTTTCAAATAATAGATAAATGAAATGGGACTTAAATACTATATCTCTGTACATAAAATAGTCTTCAAAGACTAAGAGAGGCCAATGTAAAGGGGAATGAAATGTGTTAACTAAATAGTCCTCTAGAAGGTTTGTTCCCATTTCGCCTTAACTGTAAAATTTGCTATTTCCATTTCGCCTTAGTACCTTCTGGGTTTTTTGTTTAGTCCGCATGAGGATAGTGACAATTGGGGCAAGTACAGGCAAATAAATAGTTATTGAGTACTAAATTAATATTTTACTGATCCCCGATCATCCTATTTCTCTTGCTTTTGGGCAACATAGCTTCATTTATCAGCTTAATTTGTTTTCTTTTATGGATCATTGCATTATACTTAGGTGGCTGTTAAGGCCCTTGAGCCTCTTGTATTAGATTGAAATATAATTTTATGATAATTTCAGAAAATACTAACTTTGTGTAGTATTCTTATTACCCGGTAGTAACACAGTTGTCTATTCAAGAATTTTAGACGAGTGAAGACGAAAAGTCTCTGTGATTTTATATCATTTTCCCCGTCTACAAATTGCATCATTTTCCATTCAATCCTTCCAATCCAACCCTTTTAACACACAAAAATTCAAAACGATTATAGTTACACGTTTAATAGAAATAAAACTACTTATTAAGAAACTTCGAAGCTATAAAAACTAGAGAAAATTTCAGAACGGACTACTTGATATGTTTTTATTTAGAATAAGCAAAGAGAATTAGGGAAAATAAAAGAGTAATTTGCTAAGTCTATCTGATTTTTTTTTCTTTTTGCACAAAATTCCCTGATATGTGCATGTTATAATATAGAAGCCATCTTTTAGCTATTTGGAAAGTGAGATAACTTTAAAAACGTTCGTACAAAGTGATAACGTACTTTGTATTGCTATAGTTCATCTCTATTACTTTGTGTACATGTACAAGTGCTAAAATCTAATTTCATCGAATGAAGGAATCTGCATTCATTCATTTCCCTCTCTATGTAAAAATACAACTGAAAAAAGGTACAGTAGTAGTAGAATGTTTTAATTCGGCGATTATTGCAACATCATTTTTCACATTCTTCAAAAATATACAAGATAACTCATACATACAACCAGTATTTAACTTTAACTTCAAATTCAGCTATAAATTATACAGTAGTAGTCTTAATCTAGACTCAACTTATAAATAAGGCTATATGTGAAGAGCAGGTAACAGATATTCAACAGATAATCAAAAGGTCATTGATTAAAATGAAACCATAATCTCTTTTAATAAATAATCACACTTTTTAATTTTTTTTTCCATTATCGCACTTACATTGAAGGGTCAATAAGCATCGAAAACACAAAATTCATCATTTGCATTACACTTAACACTAAATTATTTATGGAATGTAATATTGTTACAATGATACAACCTTTGAAGATTAAATAAAATAAATACATAAATACATAAATCAACATAAAAAAAAACTGGCACAAAAACTATCACTTGTCCAGCACAGTATCTTGTGGCAAAGCTTCATGTCAAACAACACAAAATTTCCGAACTAAAACATAGAAGAGAGTCCACATTGACGAAATCCTATACTTCGTCGTCATCCTTGATATGCAAGCTGTCCTTAGGAGCGTCTTGCTTGGGCTCCTCTGAATAACTAAGATCCACTGGGCCCTGCTGCTGATAAAAGACTTTCATGGCAGTCGCAAGGTCATCGGTCGTCTGCTGAAAATACGGCTCCTGGTAGCTTGCATGGTTCCAAGACGAGAAAGGGTGAGAATACTGGCTATATTCTCCTGGTTGACCAGGAAAGTATTGATACCCCGGGTAATACTGCTGTTGACTGTCGTAAGTGGGTAACCAGGGGTATGCTGACTGGTACAACGGAGGCTGAAGTTGAGATGAATGGTCGTAGCCGCTCACTCGGTTGAATGGCTGATGATACAAGCTCGGCTCAGGGATATACTGTTGCTGCTGGTAGAACTGTGGGCTGCACTGAAGATGTGGGTAGGCTTGAGTCGGTAGGTAATGCTGAGACTGGTAGAGTGGGGACAGGTTCTGAGTGGCTGTATCATCTAACAACAGTGATGTCTTTTTGGCAGCTTTCCGAGCGATAGATTTCATCAAATCGTCCTTGTTCGTCTTGTTCCACGCTGGGTTGTACCTTCTGCTCTGACGAGAGATTTTCCCGGTTTTGATTGGCCCAGCGGCCTGGTCTTCAAAGCTGGTGTCGGAGAAGAGGGCAGGTTCTCGTGTTTCGGTGAGACTCTCGTTGTAAGGTGCTGAAGGATACTCTTCACTAACTGTTGATATAGGAGTTATGCTGAGCGGTGCTTGGTAAGAGAAGTCAGATTCTGGACTGGAACTGCTGAATACTTCGTCACTGTAAACACTTGATGTTTCATTTTGGTCACGATTTACATCACATGAGAGTTCCCTGGTGTCTGCAATGGCTAAAACAGTGCGTTTTTTGGAAGGGACGTGAATCTCTGGGACTCCTAGCTGTACGTGGAGATCCTGAGCCCAGTTCCCTTGACGTGCAACTGGCGTGTCTTGAAGCTTGAAGCAGTTCATGGGTGCCTTCGAGATGTCCACATGCCATAGGTTCCCCTTACTATCTGGATTTACTGATCGTCCACCCTTCACAAAACAGGCGTTGTGGGAAAGATTGTGCCTAACAGAATCTTTCCAGCCTTTATAGGAGCCTTTGAAGAAGTCAAACATTTCCTCAAGTTTGTGATTCACACCACTGAGCGTAAGACACTTCTCTGGAGCCGAATAAATAGCGTGTATAACCATCCCGGTGTATGGATATGGTGGCTTAGGATGACGCTGATAATTGGCATGGAACCGGACAGCGCTGTCACTGATCTCCTTTGAACTCTTCTTCTTTGTCGTCTTGTCTTCGCCGGACGTTGTTTGGTCTAGAGGGTCTGATGTTGCCATAGAGAGTCTCTTAGCTGCCTCGTTAACATCAAACTCACTCGTGCAGTCAACAGAAAGGCTGTCCCCGGATTGATGATGGTGTTGATATGAGGTGACGGTTGAAGCAAGATCGATAGGTTGACACAATGTTCCAAGGACTGAAGATAGGGAAGTGGAGGCAGACCGGCTATATGGCGCTGTTAAACCGGAGGTAGAGACATCTTTACCAGACGATGATGAGGAATTTTCTTGAGTCACATTTGAAGTAGTTGTTGATTGAGGACAGTGAGAAGTACTGTCGGCTTCTTTGATAACTTCTTCGGATTTAATGGACAGCAGTGAAGGTGTTGGTGGCTGAGGTGACACACTGCTGGGTGGTGAATCATCAGACGATGAGAAGGAGCGCATTACGAGGATTCTGTCTGCTTTTTCATCAAAGTCCAAAGGAGAAGACGGTTCTTCGTATTGCTGCTCCTCTGATGAAACAGGAGAAAATACGCCGTACATTTTGTAAATCTGAAAAGCAAATATCACTTTTAAATTTACTATTTGGTACATTATTTGACAATAGCAATTTTATGTGATCCTCTGTATTTTAGCATACGAGTATTTCGAAATTTTTAGAAGCATTAACAGTAGTTGTTTTATGATTTGAAATATTAAATTTCTTGAACTTCGATCGAGTATAAAACCATTTAGCTAACCCAAAATATACTTAAAATTATCGTTCATATTTTTTTTCTGCGTCGGTAAGGGAAAGAATCTGCGAAAACGTTAAGAAGAGCGTATTCATTGACAACACACACTTGCTGCAATCAAGCGACACGTCATTTTAACGAATGCGGTTGACTTCATAAAGTTCGATACGTCACTGGCTGAAAACAGTCTTGTATTGAGCCATGTGGGCAACGCACTTTGAAAAAATTACGCACTTTGAAAAAAATTTTCAAAGTGCGTTAAAATTGAGACAAAATGAACGCACTTTGAAAAAAAATTTCAAAGTGCGTTAAATTTGGGACAAAATCAACGCAATTTGAAAAAAAAACTTAAAGTGCGTTAAGGGGGTACATCAACATTTTTTTACCATGGAGACACTTAACGCACTTTGAAAAAATATGGGGAAAAAATTCTCGACTTAGATTTTAGTAATAGACAGCATTATTTTCTTATACTTCTTTAGAAAAACTGATGAATTGATCTACCCTCATCGAGAACGAGGAGAAGACAGTTAGAAGGTCCTTCAGCCCAAATCTTTATTTTTCCTACTAAACATTTGTATTTACATAACTGGTATGACATTGATATACTTTCTTTCAATAAATTTGAGTTAACGTAAAATAGATGAAATAATCTGAGATAAGCTTTCCTGAAAAAAAAAAAAACAAGATGTGTTTGTGAAACACTGATGCCCCCGTATGGCAAAAGTAGGTCAAACTCCAAGGTCAAGGTCAATGGATTACAATTGTTGGTATCCAAAGGAAGGTCTTGTCAGAAGAATTACATATGTGAAGTATGAAAGCCCTAGCACCAACGGTTTAATAGTTATGGTCAAGGTTAAAGTTTTTCAAAAGTAGATCAATCGTCAAGGTCAAAGGGTCAAAGTTGTTGGTATCCAAAGGAAGGTCTTGTCACACGAATTACACATGTGAAGTATGAAAGCCCTAGCACCAATTGTTCAAAAGTTATGGCAAAAGTTGAAGTTGGGTAAAATTTTGCAAAACTGGGTCAAACCCCAAGGTCCAGGTCAAAAGGTCAAATATGGTGGTACCCAAAGAAAGGTCTTGCCACAAGGAATACACATGTGAAATATGAAAGCCATAGATCCAACCAATCAAAAGTTATGAGCAACGTTAAAGTGTTTGCGGACAAACAGACAGACGGACGGACAGGGCAAAAACTATATACCCCCGAATCTTCGATACGGGGGCATAAAAATAACGAACCCTATTATATTAAAGAGGAGAGTCTCAGGGGCCATATCACTAATCTAAGCAACAATAGCCAACTGACTATCCTTTGGCCAAAATAGCTTTACAAAATCAAATACAGTACAAATAAAAAAAATGTATAAAATACACAAAATCAAATACAGTACAAATAAAAAAATGTATAAAATACACAAAATCAAATACAGTACAAATAAAAAAAATGTATAAAATACATAATTTTTTCATAGCTCTTAATACTAAACAAATAACTGAAAAAGGCCATTATATTGTGCGGAAATAAACAATTTTTTTTCATATTTCTAAATACTTATCAAATAACTATAAAAAAAAAAAGACCATTATATTGTGCGGAAAAATTTTCAATGGAAAAATCATAATCAACCCCTTTTCCCTTCAAAAATTTGTGATGCTTTAAGTCAATTATTGACCCCCGACATCTACCGAACTTGGTCCCAGATTTTTCAAAGTGCGTAATTTTTCAAAGTGCGTTGTAACAAAGCCAGTATTCATACAGTAGCAAGTCGATCTCGACATCTTCGAAATGTTCGTTCGATTTTGTTATTATTCCGTATTTCTTTCGGTGAATCAAAGTAATTTGTAGATTTAGTCTTAACACTCAGCGGCTTGAAGAGTAAAATAAAACCGAACTAGATGTGTCGTAACGTCACGAATGCCCCCGCAGGCGGCCGAAATTTCAAATGCCATAATTAGTTTTAAATTTGTTTGCACAAAAGACTTTTTTTCTAAGTTCAAGGGGCATAACTAATACAAAAACTAATTCCATACAATGTTAACCTTATTAAGATGGCTGTATACATCGATGCTTATACTTTTCAAGACTCTGTTTCACAAGATGGCAATTTAAATGTTTTGTGAAATTGTCTGTATAGATCGATTTGGTCACATATTATCATAGCCAAGTGGTTAAAGTATCGGACTTGTGAACTGCAAATCCCAATTTCGAATCCCGCTTGGGCTTTTCTTCATACTGCATTAAATTGTAATAATTATTCTATTTTTTTATCCAAAAATTGCAAACTTTTCGCTTACTTTTTATTCAGTATCATCTTTCATAATCAAGTATACTTTTCTGCTGATTTGAGAAACTCTTTCAAGGTATATTAAAACATGACCTGTATTTTCTGGTATAATACCTGCACATGCAAATTCAACCTTCTACATACATCCCTACAAATGTTTGAGAGCGGAAACTGAAAATCTAAGTTCAAAAGGGATCACTCTGTCAAAATCATCGGACAATGACCAAATTCCAACTTGACCTGCGTATTCTTATGACGTATCCATATGTGAAATTTGAGTTGAATGTGTGCAACTGTAGCGAGATCATGAGCGGGAAGCTAGTCAATGATGACGGAATGACGGAACAGGGTAACACTGTATGTATACGTCCCCGGCCATTTTACAATTGTATGTCGGGGGCATAAAAATACAAGAGGCCCATGGGCCATAACTTTCACCTGAATCAATATGACCCTGCTGTTCTTCGTCAGCATATTTCTTCTCCTATATATTCATATGTAAAGCTTTGATCGCCTGTTCTAGGCATACCCTACCCCCAGGTGCCATGTTTTGAATGAAGTTGAACCTTAACTTTCTGAGGATGCTCCTATATTCATATAACTAATCATGGCTTTGCTGTTCCTGAAACCAATATTTTTTAAAGATGTCTGCCATCCTACCGGGGGGGGGGGGGAGGGGGGGGTCATGATTTGAACTTGAATCTACACTACCTGAGGATGCTTCCATATCATGGACATGACTAATCATGGCTTATTTCCTATATATGTTCTTTTGTAAAACTTTGATCCCCCATTATGGCCCTACCCTACTACTGGAGGATGCCTTGAACAAACTTGAATCTACAATACCTGTGGATGAATCCATCCATAATCATGGCTTTGTTGTTCTTGAAAAGATTTTTAAAGAATTTTTCCTATATATTCCTATGTAAAACTTTGATCCCCCATTGTGGCCCCAACCTACCCCCAGGGGTCATGATTTGAACAAACTTAAATATACACTACCTGAGGATGATTACATATCAATATGACCAGTTGTTGCTTTGTTGTTCTTGAGAAGAAGATTTTTAAAGAATTTTCCTATATATTCCTTTATGTATGTAAAACTTTCATCCCCCATTGTTGCCCCACCCTACCCCCGGGGGTCATGATTTAAATTAAACAAACTTGAATCTACACTTCCTGAGAATAGGATAATTCCATATCAATATAACTAATTAAGGCTTTGTTGTTCTTGAAATGAAGATTTTTTTAAAGATGTTTCCTTTATATTCCTATGTAAAACTTTAATCCACCATTGTGGCCCCACCCTACTCCCCGGGGGTCATGACTTGAATAAATTTGAGTTTTCACTACCTATGGATGATTCCTTATAAATATGACCAATCAGGGTTTTGCTGTTCCTGAGAAAAAGATTTTTAAAGTTTTTTTTATACATGTATATTCTTATGTAAAACTTTCATCCCCCATTGCGGCCCCACCCTACCCCCGGGGGTCATTATTTTAACAAATTTGAATCTACACTACCTGAAGGTGATTCCATATCAATATGACTTATCATGGCTTTGTTATTCTTAAGAAGAAGATTTTTAAAGATTTTTCCTATATATTCCTTTGTAAAACTTTTATCCCCCATTGTGGCCCCATCCTACCCCCAGGGATCATGATTTGAATAAATTTGAATCTACACTATCTGAGGATGCTACCTGATCAATATGACTAATTGTTGCTTCAATTGTTGTTTTTGAGATTTTTAAAACATTTTCCGATATATTCCTATGTAAAACTTTGATCCCCATCCTACCCTTGGGGGTCATGATTTGAACAAACTTGAATTTACACTATGTAATGAAGGTTTCACAAAGGTTTCAACTTTTCTGGCCAAATGGTTCTTGAGAAGAAGATCTTTAAAAGATGGCACCAAATTTTCACCAATTCTTAATTATCTCCCCTTGGAAGAGGGCGTGGACCTTCATTTGAACAAACTTGAACCCCCTTCACCCAAGGATGCTTTGTGGCAAGATTAGTTGAAATTGGCCCAGTGGTTCTGGAGAAGTCGAAAATGTGAAAAGTGTACAGACAGACGGACGGAAGGACAGACGGGCAACAGACAAAATGTGATCAGAAAAGCTCATTTGAGCTTTCAGCTCAGGTGAGCTAAAAAGGATATTTCGCATGTGAATGAGAAAAAAAAATAATTGGAAACATGAGCCTCTAAATCAAAGAAATTGTATCCGTTTTATGTTGATTGAACACGTTCTCACAACTGACAGACACATCAACATTTTGGAAAACCATCACTGTATAAAGGATAGAACCATGACAACGGAATAAATTAATGCTTTAGAGTCTAGAAATAGGTGCTGAAGTGGAAGGGGGTATTTTTTCCAAGATGACAACTTTCATCCCTTGTAGAGTTTATGTATATAGGCGTGGTACGTGTTTTTAAACATCGTATTTCTTGTCGGAAAGTTTCAGAATCTTTATTGAAACAACTTTTTAAGTATATTTACAGAAG